TAGGATGCGCAAGCGGATCCAAAACACATATGAATATACAAAGTAAAGAGGGGGCTCTTTTTCTTACCACGAAAAAGCTGATTATCAGCGCCCAAAGCAATTCTTGGTTTCTTTCCACGATCACTGGAGAGTTGTTCCTTTTGACGCCTCTTGCGGCTCGCCGCTTCTCTTGCCTTCTTAAGACGCTTTTCATCTTCGGAGCCGGATGCAAGCTCGTCCGACTCGTACTCGACTACAACCTGCCAGCCGTCCCTACTTTTATCAGCGATTTTTATCAGCTTCTGTCGCTTTCGAATACGTTGCCTGCCTTGTTGGGAAAGTTTCTTGATCTGCGACGAATTTGGCTCGATGCTTTCACTTTCGGTTTCAATGCTTCCAAAAATGGCATCTAATTCGGCATTAAGCTCAAATTGTTTCTGGTTACCTTTGAACTTTAGCTGTACAACTTCTTTATCTATCTTACTCCTTTGTTCGATTTGCTTTCCTTTATCTTCTAATTTTTTCTCAAGAAAATCCTTAAACATGGAAAAGACTTGATCAACGGCTGCTGAGTTGCCTCCACTATCACCTGAAAATGTTTGGCCTACTTCAGCCGGAACGGATGATCCTTCGCTCTCTTTTTGGTCGTTGGGCATCACACGAATAGGAAAACACAAACCAGAAAGATGAATAAACTGTATGGAACTGCGAGCGTGAATGGTACTCAAGAGACAGCGGAGAGTATACATACTAATAACTGGCCAATCAGGACATCCATGCAAAACGGAATGCACAATAGCGGGTGCAGCAGGTGTGAGATGAAAACAACTGCAACTAATTACTTGGAATAACAGCGGAAAATACATAAAATGTGTAACTGAATGGTAAGAAACAGAACAAATAAATGTACAGTGAATGCTGAAAATGCTGACACATTGTACTGTTACTTTAGAATGTTATAAATGAACCTTTCTGACGTAGATTCTTACAGTGAGGATGCCGCTGTCCGAGGACTCAAAAATAGGACTCCATACGAGTTCACACTCAATGGTTGCTCTCCCTTCGCCATCACCACAAATTCTCTGACCGTAGAAAGCGTTGCTAGGCAACTTTCTTCATTTTTGGGGCCTCCAGGGCAGCACGACCTGACAGCTGAGGCACAGTGCCTTGAATTTTTTTAGAACCACTGAATGCTTTTGTTAAATGAAGCTGGACAGATGCTTGCTCAGACAGAGCTCTTTGAACGTTCTCCATATTGTAGGTCTTAAATGACATGCACAAAACCTTTTCCTTCCAATTGGTGGTTTTAAGTGTCTGCATTCATGGCCACTGATGCCAGGAACTAAGACATGCCTTAAGCAGACACCTCCCGCATTGTCACATAGTTTATACCCTGCATAACACGGGTATTCAAGAAAGAAAGAAGGCAGAAAGTAAATTACTAAAAGCCAAAGTTACCAGGTTAAAGAACAGGATGGCACTTAACCAAGTACAGTGGGTTTAAACATTTCAAAATCAAATGCAACAGGATCAACAGGACTTCACTCCCATAAATTTTGGTAAGCTCTCATGGTTTTTAAAATTTTATTGCACATTTTACATTGTACCTAACTTGAGATTGATTTGCTCATGGTATTTCCTTTATGACCTTCTTTACATTTTTCACTTGTACAGTAAGGTTGGTTTTATCTATGACCATTTTTTAACTTACATGTACTCCTCCCCCCAAAAAATATTAATACTTTGTATCTTTAAGGACTGCTTCTTTAACAACCTTAACAACCTTAACAAAGGGTTTGCAATTCCAATGCAATTAAATTTGGTAAAATCAACTCCAGTCTATGCGCTACTCAAGGGCTTTAGTGTCATACAAGATATTGGAAACATACCAGTAATACAGGTACATTTACTACTATTTATTAATTCTTTTTTTACAATAGGGTTGGCATTGCAGAGAAGGATGAACAAGGGGAGCCTAAAGGAATTGTCTTTCTTTCCAAACTCTTACTCCTTTTCCAATACTGTCATATATGCTTCACTCCCAACCCCGAAGCCACGTCGCCACAAATTGGAACCCTGCTGACAATTGAAACAAAATGTAACAAATGTAAAGAGATCTGTACATGGAAAAGTCAGCCTTTCCTTCTTGGGAAATTCCCAGCTGGTAATCTCTTACTCAGTTTTGCAGTTCTTTGTGCGGGTGCCTCTATAAAGAAGGTACTTTTGGTGTTTCGTCATGTGGGAATTCTGGTATATAGTGAACCCACATAATATTACCACCAGAGACACCTCCTCATCGCAACAGTGATATCATTCTGGCGTAAATACCACAAAAAATTTTTAGACACTCTGAAAGGGAAAGAGGTTGTGTTGGCTGGAGATGGGTGCCATGATAGCATGGGCCATTCTGCTAACTACGGAATTTGTACAATCTTCTGCTGTACAGTGAGCCTTATCATTCACATTGTTCTTGTACAGGCAAGTGATATAACTTTGGTTAATCTCCATTAGAATGTTACTTGTACATCCTCCAATTCAAATACTCTAGCTTATAATATTATTAGTGACTACTTTTGATAAGCAATAGTAATTATAGCAAAGCAAGTATAATTCCCCTAGTAATCAAGTGGTCCAGTTACTAATTAATAGTAACAAGGCTGAGAGGATCTCTTTTTTGTGTGAAAATTAAATTAAAGATGTAATCGCATATTAGAGTGGCAGATCCATACTAGCATAAAAGAAAGGGGGCCTTGGATTGACTAAGGTGGTGCCATGGATTAAAAACTACCTGAAAGGCACAGGTTTTGGAAACGCAGTTCAAGGTGGGGCACAGAACCTCACTGGATCTGCCCCTACCTTGCTTATCATGAATACATGTACACAGAAACCTGCTGAGAGGAAAATACAAGACACAAACATCGACACATATACTTTTTCCATAATGAAACCTGTACCTTACATTACTTTCTAGGCTAACCAGGCAGGAAGCAGTTCAGGAGTTGAGTTCATGGCCTTCAAGTAAGCATTCACCTATTCTGTTAGCCAGTGGCATGATTTTTAAGTCTTATATCTGACAGACATGTCTCTATTGCTAAATGGATGAGAGAGGAGTGTGGCAAGAAATGCAATGAACTAGGAAAGCCAGTTGTTAATCACTTCTTTGATCTCTGGCACATTGGGAAAAGTATGTAAATAGTAATATATATCATTCAAAAAGTATAATTAGTGGGACAAATGAACAACTAAATCAGTCAGTCAGTGGCTTCTCACATTGAATGGAATCAGCTTGGTTTAAACATGTAAGTTGCACTTTGAATAATCTGATTGCTATCAATGGTTTGTATCTTTCTGTAGAAATAGAAAATTCTAACCAAACTGAGCAAGGAGAAAAACTGTGAAATCATTGGCCGTTGGAGAAAGGCATGTGTGAAACACTTTTACTGAGCAGTAACATTAACCCAAGAATGCCTCAGGCAACTTAAGCTTGCCAAATTCCAAGCCTTCCTTAGTCATGTTACTAACAAGCACAAGGACCTTCCAAATAGGCTGTTCAATGCTTGTGCCCATGGAAATATTACCACTCTAAAATTGTGGACTTTCTAATCAAGTTTCAATCTATTGTATTGATTGCAGTTTCAGAGACCTATGAAAAGTTGTGTTTAGCCCTTAATAAGAGCACTCTCACAAAATCAATAGAGAAAGCATCCTCAGTGGAACAAAGAAGTTGTCTGTCCCTCTACACTGCAAATCTGCCTGCTATGTTGATGATAACAAACTCTATTTATCTTTTCCTTCAACTAATACAACTACTACAATCGACAATTTGAATGAGGATCTAAAAAATATCTGTCTGGTGCTGCAAAAATTCTCTTCTAATTAACCCAGACAAAACCAAAGTTCTGTTTATTGGCGTGCCGCAACTTCTCCGCCAATTGCCTGCAGTACCTGTCTTAATGCTTGGAAAAGAAATCAATCCCGTCATTGTCGCCAAAGACCTTGGTCTTTATCTTGATCAATCTTTAACTTACAGCGATCACGTTACAAAAACAGCTTCTAACTGCATGCACAAACTGATAGAAATAAACAGGATAAAGCATTTATTGGATAAGAAGACATTGCTTCTACTTATGGATTCTTTTATCTTCAGTAAGCTG